GTTCCACCCGTGAAGCTCTTTTAGATGGAAATTGCTCTTTTAGTGTGCTGAAGCGCACAGGGGAGATGGCTGTCTGCAACACACACAGGCGTAGTACAGCCTGTTGTGTGCAACCCACTCGACACGGGAAAACCACTGCCGCTGAAGTGCCGTCCACCAGCACGAGAGCCCACGAAGAGCGTGCTTGACTGTAGTTTGTACTACTGTAGATACTTGGTCAGGAGCAGAACGATAGAATCGCTCGGCTCCCAAGCGAAAAGCTGAATATGCACTGCATCTGCTGCCTACTTATACTCATGCTGTGATCAGCAGCAGCTGGATGCAATAATTGCATGCCAATGTGCATTGGCTCATTTAGTTTACACTCGAAGTAGATTGGTCTCTCTAAGCGAGATCCCAATTCGTCGGTCATCCGACGTGACATCGAGAGTGACCGACTGAAAGGGATCTCTAATTCTCATTCTAACAATAAACAAAACCTCAACAAAATCCCTTCCAACCCAAACCAATTCTGCAAGTGAGAACCTGAGAAAAGTTTCCAGCGACGCATCGCTCCTGAGATCGCCTAAAGGCCTCTCCAGCTGCTCTAGTTCTCCAACTTTCTAACAATGTTCCCTCCTGTCAAAGCAGACAGGTCGCCGACAGAGTACCATTCTGTTGCCATTGAAAAGAGCACCCAGTGCCACTATTGGCTGTAGCTTAATAAGGAAGTGTGCGCAGCATGGGGCCTCGAGGGGCACTAGGTATCAAAGTGAGAAGAAGTGGAGGAGGGGAACACTGATGAGAGTCTGCAGGGGAGATCTTGGTTTGGGTCCATGGGTCTCTCTGCCTCGGTCCTTTATACATGAGTGATTTTATGTGACATGTGAGGCTCTTTACATTCAGCTTGTCGTGCAGCTGACTCGGCACTTTCAACTATAATCAGAATGTGACTTCTGGTCAAGTCACACTTGCAAATACAAAAGAGGTCGCTATCTGAAACAGCTGAGAAGACAGATATGAAGCATCTGCATTTAACTAGTAGGACAGAAGCCAAAGCCAAAGGAACAGAATTTAATATGGGTTTTATGGTATATGATCTATATGGATAAAACGTTCT